AGGGTTAGGTTTAGGGTCAGGGTTAGGGACAGAGTTAGGGTCAGGGTTATAGTTAGATTTTGGGTCAGGGTTAGGTTTAGGGTCAGGGTTAGAGTTAGATTTAGGGTTAGGGTTAGGTTTAGGGTCAGGGATAGAGTTAGATTTAGGTTCAGGGTTAGGGATAAGGTTAAGGTCAGGGTTATGGTTAGGGTTAGGTTTAGGGTCAGGGTTAGGTTTAGGGTCAGGGTTAGAGTTATATTTAGGGTCAGGGTTAGTGTCAGTATTAGGTTTAGGGTTAGGTTTAGGACATCTTTTATAGACAGTGAAGTTTCCTTTCCACCTCAGAAAGCTGCTAGTCACATAACCCAATCAAAATGGCCGACTCGGACGTGGGTTAGGGTTAGTCTGTTAATCTGCTCCCCCCCCCCCCCCACCCAGACTCCCTGGAGCCCACCTACCGGCGGCTGCGGGGCCTGCAGCTGGACCGCAGCCCGTTCGTGGTGGTGTCGGTGGTGGGCCAGGAGCTGCTCACCCACGGGTTCCACGCCGCGGCGGGCGTGGTCCTGGAGGCGGGGCTTAGGATCGGCACCTGCTCCCTGAAGCTGCGCGGATCCGTGTTCTCCGCCCTGAGCGCCGCCCACTGGGCGCTGGGCAACGTGGAGAAGAGCATGGCCTACATGCAGCAGGACCTGGAGGTGACCAAGACCCTAGGTACGGTTTAGCTCAGTGTTTTTCAACCACCAGTATGATAATATGACACATTTGGCATTATAGGGTTAAAACAGTTGCCAGATCAACATTACTAGGGGATAAAAGTACTAAAAAGCATTAGAATACTAGACACTAAATAGTAAATTAACACAACTACCAAATCAACATTACTAGGGGATAGAAGTACTAGGGGATAAACGTAACTAAAAAGCACTAGAATACTAGACACTAAATACTAAATTAACACAACTACCAGATCAACATTACTACGGGACTACGGTACTAAAAAGCATTAGATTACTAGACACTAAATACTAAATTAAAACCAATTAAAACTAGGGCAACGTGGAGAAGAGCATGGCCTACATGCAGCAGGACCTGGAGGTGACCAGGACCCTAGGTACGGTTTAGCTCAGTGTTTTTCAACCACCAGTATGATAATATGACACATTTGGCATTATAGGGCTAAAACAGTTGCCAGATCAACATTACTAGGGGATAAAAGTACTAAAAAGCACTAGAATACTAGACACTAAATACTAAATTAACACAACTACCAGATCAACATTACTACGGGACTAAGGTACTAAAAAGCATTAGATTACTAGACACTAAATACTAAATGAAAACCAATTAAAACTAGGGCAACGTGGAGAAGAGCATGGCCTACATGCAGCAGGACCTGGAGGTAACCAGGACCCTAGGTATGGTTTAGCTCAGTGTTTTTCAACCATCAGTATGATAATATGACACATTTGGCATTAAAGGGTTAAAACAGTTGCCAGATCAACATAACAAGGGGATAAAAGTACTTGAAAGCACTAGAATACTAGACACTAAATACTAAATTAAAACAGTTGCCAGATCAACATTACTAGGGGATAAAAGTACTAGGGGATAAAAGTACTAAAAAGCACTAGAATACTAGATACTAAATAGTAAATTAACACAACTACCAAATCAACATTACTAGGGGATAAAAGTACTAAAAAAGCACTAGAATACTAGACACTAAATACTAAATAAAAACAGTTGCCAGATCAACATTACTAGGGGATAAAAGTACTTGAAAGCACTAGAATACTAGACACTAAATACTAAATTAAAACAGTTGCCAGATCAACATTACTAGGAGATAAAAGTACTAGGGGATAAAAGTACTAAAAAGCATTAGAATACTAGACACTAAATACTAAATTAAAACCAATTAAAACTAGGGCAAC